AACCTACCATTAATTCTGAATATCCTTAACTAGGCTGTGCTCTTACGCCATACCTTCTTGCCAAGCTGTCAAACATTAATTAACTTCTCCCTAAGTCTTTATTAATTATTCTTCCCCGAAGCTCCATAACTACCCTTTATAACTATTGCGCAAAATCCAAGTTCTTCAATCTCTTCAACTCTTCCACTTCTCATCCTTCCGATTTTCTATGTTCATCACCAACTTCTCTCCTTCCGCTATCATTCCATACATCTCATTGTCGTTTTTAACTTTGCAGCTACCTTTCCAACCACAAGCAGATTTTCTGTGCCCACAATTCTGCCTCCTCTTCAAATTTTCTTCTGGATCTTCAATATAAATTGTGAACATGCTTGGGTTTAAGATTTAATGGTAATTCTTGCTCCTCACAACTTTAATCGTCAATATCCACGCTTTGCCTAACCGCTTTTCAATTTCTCTCCGTTTAGCGTATCGAATGGATCTCCTAGCTCTACAAATAAGACATCTCTACGTGTGTCCGCAATACTGTTAGTCTCTATATTAGTAGAGACAATCAGACGCTACAATGTAGCATAAAATCTGCTACATTGCTCTTCACAAATCCTGGCGACTTTCTAAAAATATCATAAAGTGTTCTGACGCGTATACCTTCTGTATTTTCTACACTTTCACCATCATTGCACATCTATTTCAAGAATTCTCTTTATTGTGTATTTCAATTTCTTTTTATCATCTTTCTACATCCCTCTCCTGCAAAACCAACACTGTCCTCTTCAAATGATACATCAAGTCAATACCGTTTTGTTGCATAATATTATTAATTAACCTGCTTCATCTTATCTAACATCCAAAACTTGCAGAGCATGTTCACTTTTTACTACTTGTTTAACATATAAGTTCACATCAACTTTATTAGTTGGTTTAAAGCTGAGAGTAGCTACATCTTCACTATTGGAAAAATCTAATAAATGTTCATTTTCCGATTAGTTATTATATTAACAATGTTTTTCAATTTTTTTAGCGGAATGCATTTAGCCACAACTTATACTGAATTGTAGAATACAAAAAAATAATAAGGATTGTTAATGCAAAATGGGACAACTATGCGACAATAACGATACAGTTTGAAGGTTTTGTGGAGATACTTTTTAATCACATGATTTTACAGAAATAAAATACTTACATTATTCTCAATGGTTTTTATGTTTTATCCAATGTCAACAAGATTCGATTTGTCCAAGAGTCGCACCCTTTTATCACATTAATCAGTCCCCAAGGAACACACAATACTATGTATTCAATAGTTATGGCATCAAGTCTCTTAAATGCATTATTGCTAATACGCAATTGCGTACACATGTCAGTATTTTTTGTATGACGTAATCTTTTCTCGCTGTCTAAAATCATATAACGGTTTCGTTTAGGAACTCTTCAAGTTCAGCTTTTTATAAGATCTCTCATATACTCTTAACTACACAGTCTTGCATTGCAATCTTAACACCATACCCTTCAGTTTTGCGAATTAATACAACATTGCATATGATAAACACCTGCAGATTTCAAAGTACTTTCAAAATTATTAGCATTTTCATATAAAACCTTACGTTTCTATTCGCACTTTCGCTTGAATGCAAGAAAATTTTTAGGGCGCTAATTTGTTGCGCTTCTAACAGGTATTTTGATGACGATTTTAATGACGCCTTTTAGAGAAATGTTTACAATATATTGTGCCCTATCTTCCGTCTTAAGAGACGCACAACTAAACCCGAATGTTTCTGGTTCTAGATCTTGTGTTAGTTCTAGTGATAGTGCTAGTGGAAAACTAGAATTAACACTAGACCTAGAACTAGAAAATACCGGGTTTAGCGTGCGTTTGAAGACATACATGTTAGTTCTAGTTTTTTCTTAGTTGTTACTATGTAGAACTAACACTATACCTATCTAACTAAAATCATTCGGATTTAGCCGTCTTTAGAGACGTGTGGCTAAACCCAAATGGTTTCAGTTCTAGGTGTAGTATTAGTTCTAGTTTTACTACTAAAAATAAGTAGGTACTCTATGGAAATATATTTTTGTATGTTGCATCTTAAGTGAAATTCACTGTATGTATATCCACATATAAAATAACATAAAATCAAAAATCTTTAATGTAACATAGAAGGTATAAAAAAATATTGTAAATAGTTTAGTATAATACAGTAAACTAGTTTAAATATGTTATACCTTAACATATCTTGAATCGAATTCTCATGCGAGAACTTCACCAGTCTTCAACTCATTAATATTGCCGTGCGTCTTGAGGATTAGCGGTCTGACATCTGGTACGTGGAGCCTTCGGTTGGAACTGGGGGATGTTCGAAGGCAGCGGTCCCTTTTAGTAGAAACCCCCTTTCGGTCCCCATAGATCCCTAGGAGGGACCGCTGCGAAGGGCATATTAAAGCGGCGGCGGACGCTGTTTACTTAATCTAATCGTTCCGAAGGAAACTAGTGTAACTTGTCGGGGCGTATTAGGACTTGAACTGGTAAGCAACGGCTCTCTCTTCGACCTCCTCCCTAATTCAGTACCGAAGCCCTAAGTTTTCTTTGATGTAGGCGGTGGAAATTAGTCGGCTCAATTTAACACCTCAACTGTTTCAAAGAAAACGAAATGGTTTTACGGTATATAGATATAATTTAGTACATATTAGTTTTATTAAACTAAAATTACTGGATATTTTCGATGTTTACAATCATTAAAAGTAATTGAGCGTGGTCAACACAATTGGCCACAACCTGTAAATACAAAACATAGGGAGCTGGGTGAATAACCATAACAGTTTCTAGGGAATAACGCCAAATTGAGTCTCCGATGGCACGGTCCGCCCCACAAGCCAGTAATAAGCTCGTCTTTATTATAATTGTCCTAATTCGGGTGTTGTTAGTCCGAATCCTCGCCGTTCTATGACCAGACATAAAACGACACTAACCGAATCGCAGCTTTTTGTCGTTTATATTGTGACGTACGAATCTGTTTTCCCTAATAATTACGCTCTACATTTGTTCCCTTTACCATTACCCCAATTGCTTCCTATGTGTTATGTCACCGAAGAATATTTGAACAGGGTTTGAGCGTTCAATATGTCATACCCAACAAAAATGACAAATTATGTTTCATAAAAGATTTTATTAGAAATTAAGGGTTTAATTAATTTTAAAAAATATAGAATTATTTCTAGCACAATCAATTTACTTTAATATTTCTATACATTTCACAGGTCTTTTTTTATTTTCAAAAAAACGTAATTGAATTCGAACATTTCTTGTGTCCACGGCAAATTCTAGAGGGAGAAAATTGGGACGCTCCCATGAGTGGTAATTTGATTTCCGCGCAGAATGCAGAGTCCGCGTTTCGGAAACTACGAGAACGCCGTTACTGGAGTCAATTCTACGGTACGAGCAAACAAGAGAAGAAAAACGCATCGACGGACGGCCAGGCAATTACGCGATTGGAATTTTTCGTTGTTGTTCGCAATTAAGCTGATCCAAATTTGACTGTAACGTTCGGACGTTTCGTTTGACGTTCTAAGCTTCGAGTTTTCAATTCGAATATGTTACACCCTGTTTGTTTTATTGCTACTTTTCGATAATAACGAAGTCGTTACATTTATTTGGTTATGTTACAAATATGGGATGTTATTAACTTAATCGTGGAAGAAAATTTACTCTTAATTAGCTATAAAAGTTAAACCCGTCTTCGAGTTCGCTTTTTCTCTTTTTTTAATTAAACGATTATTTAGGAAGCGACGCATAAAAAACGAGGCTCCGTCGGGTCCGACAAAAAAAGGGAAGGCATCAGGTTTCTCGCGAATTTCGCCATTTCCGGCCATGTTTGCAGAATTAAGTGGAAGAGGGAGAATGGACGGGGATCGAGAAAACCGAGCCCGAAGGCGTGATTTGAAGTGGAGTGACGACCGAATCTGCCCCCAAAGGCTCCCTTAATACCGAGCGAGCGCGAGGCAATATCCATACCGACATTTAATATCGCTTTTGAGAAAACATCAAGGCATATTGACGGGGTGGCAAAAAGGGCGCTCCACTGTCGCGCGCGCGAAAATCCTAACTCGAATTTAATATCTTCATTTTATATTAAAAATTGCGACGATACGAAATTAGGACACGCACTACCGCCATCATTTCTTCGCACTTAGGCGGAAGCGCCGGTTTTTACACCGATCGCGGTGGTTTTTAGCTTGTAAACTGTGCACTCAAAAAGCGAGGAGTATTCTGTGATGGGTGTCTTGGTCGCAATTTGAACGCTAACGGAGGTTGTTAACGGAAAATGATCTCCTCGGAGGCAGGATGCGAGGCGGCGTTAATAACAAACCTTCGCTCAACTCCAACTTCTAATTACTACTTGTGCCCACCATCGAAATGGTGGTGCCGGAACTTTCGCCCTCTTTCTAACTCGTTCAACCACTCAACTATCGTTCGATTCCTTACTGATTTCTCATTACTACGCTGAACTGTACAAAAAGTTTTTCAAAAATAAACATGTAATTGTTTGGTAAATCACGATTAAAAGAAAGCAACGTGCTTTAGATGTGTTATATCTTAGTAATAAGTGTTATTTGCCACGTTGCTGTTCGTTTAATGCGGTCTAATCGCTTAAATCGCCTCTTACAATAAAAACGAGAGTAAGAGCGTAGCGTAGGTCCACATTAAGCCATCAAAAAACGATTTGGAGAAGCGAAAGAACCGGGCAACATCCTAGTGAGAAACTAAGGAGCAATTAGTTCCGGTGCTACCGGTATCCGGCCACTGTGGTAGTAATTATCATAAGGCTCGGATCTCGGTGTGTTCTGCGAGCCGCTACCTCGTTCAGATGACTTTAAGAGATTACAATAAGATCTAAGATAGGATATTTGTTTAAGAACTTTTCCACATTTTAACGATGTTAGTATGGACCTGAATATTTTATTTATCTCGTTAACAAAGTAATTTAATACTGATTTTATTTCAGGTAGCCTTAAAGATAATGGACGTGACACTAATTAAAGAGGATTACGTCATAAGGAACCTGTACAGGGAAGCAAGGATCATGTCGCGGCTTTTTCACCCCTGCATAGCGGCCCTCTTCCAGACGATGCAGGTACGAACTTTTTAATTAGCCCTTAATTGGCGACAAAATACTTGATTTTTTTCGTTGCATCAGCAAAATTAGAAACAAGATCTTACAACACTGATATTAAAATAAACTCACTATTTGTAACTAACACGGTTAGACTAACTTCGATATGATGCTAAATAGGGCGTAAACGTAAATGGTAATTGATGTCACCGACAGCGCCGGCGGCTTCACCCCGATCGATACCGAACCGGTAGCCTCTTTGCACGCACGTGTGCGTTGCGTAACACGCGTGTACACGTTTCTATTGCGATGAGAATTTGCGGGAATCGTGAACGATACCATGAAATCGAAATCGCCGGCACGCGATGCGCAGCTGAACCTTTAAAAAACGCATAAGTCGATAGCAAAAAAAACTTGGTCCATTTTAAATATGTATACGTATTGATAGAGGTAGGGATAAGAGGGGGGCGCTCGTAAAATCGAAATTCACATGACACCGCGGTCAGCAATATTTATCGAAATTGCAGTTTAATATTTCACCGACCGATCGTACGGCCGCCAATCTGCACGCACACTCTGTTAATATTTCACCGTATTCTAGTTATGATAGCCTCCGGTTATTATTTGATTGATAAGTTTAACCGAACGATCAGACCATCGACGTTAACTGACGTGACGGTTTGCTACTTCACTTCGAAATTAAAATAATGGAATTTTTTTACCGGCGAGACGATAGCAACATACCGCTCAGCAACAAACTTTTTCCTTTATATTTGCACCTACTTCTAGTTCCCATATCTTTGTTATCTAGAAAGATAGCGAAAAACTAAGCACACGGTTGGAAAGCTTGGCTTTTTCTCTATCTTAAACCGAGTTTTCGTCCGCCGATATGTTGATAATAAGCGCAAGAAAAAATAAGAAACGTCGCGCTGCATTCAATTTACCTCAGAATTACCAAACTTCACGGCCTTGTGCAGCCGTTACCAGATGGAAATTCAATAAATGGTTTACATATTCGGAAAGAGCTGACCTTGGACTATCTTATTCCGAGTTTTCGTCCGCCAATATCTATCAGCGTCTGTAAGAAAAACCCACCTGAAAAAGCCCCTACCGATAAAAACACGCAAATATTTCTTGCACTAATAACTTTCCTATTTGACAGGGAGAAAACTTTACAACAATATTCAGCTTATGGGAAATTTCCTGCTCTTTCCAACGATGTGTGACACACCGTGATCACACGTTTGCACAATCCTTTTTTCTGACTATGAACTACCTAAACCACGAATTTTTGCCGCGGCTAAACCACGCTTAGGTCAATAACTAACTCTCTTGTATGACGGGGAGAAAACTCTAGAACTATATTCATCTTATGGGAAATTTTCTGCTCTTTCCAACGGTGTCCGACGCACTTCGCTTACGCGTTTGCATACGCGTTTTTTAAATTGATGAACTGAGTTAAAATGCAAAGTTGGTAACGTTACCAGATTCAAAACCATCAAAACACAATTCAACAATTCGAGTCTAAAATCACTCAAATTCTTCCAGATTCTGATAAAATAGGTGTAACATGAAATAATCTTTCCTTTTTGAACAGTTTAACATGTTTCTAAACGTAAAACTAAAACTAGAACTAACACTAGCACTATCACTAGAACTAACACTAGACCTAGAACTAGAAACTTTCGGGTTCGCTTCCAACTTGTTTTCTGAAGAAGGTTGCAACATGGCACCCGAAACGTCAAAAATTTTTTCAAAAAACGCACGGCTCAACCCGAAAGTTTCTAGTTCTAGGTCTAGTGTTAGTTGTAGTGATAGTGCTAGTGTTAGTTTTAGTTTTATTAACACCGGCCGTGAAACCCTTCGTACTTATATGTTTTTAAACGGTTTTAAATAAATTAAGAGTGAATGAAAAATTATCTGTCAACATGAAATGAAGTTAGGATTCTCTCTCAGGTAAAACTTTGTTCCAATTTTTCCTTCATCATATAAGAAAGTTAGGTTAAGAAGTGATTGCGTTCTGCTACCTGTAGGTTGTCTTTCAGGTGCGTTTCTTTTACAGACGCTGGCAGATATTGACGGCGTCTGTAAATGAAAATTCGAAATAAGACAGGCCAAGGTTAGCTCTTTTCGAATATGTAAACCATTTGTTGAATTTCCTTCTAATAAGGGCTGCAAATTTTTCGCTATTTTTCTAGATAACGAAAATATTGGACCGAAAAGTAGACGGAAATACAAGGGAAAAGTTTGTTGCTGGGCTGAAAAACGATTGTGCAAACGTGTGATTGAGATGTGTTATATACCGATGAAAAGAGCAGAAAATTTCCCATAAGATGAATATAGTTCTAGAGTTTCCTCCCCGTCATATAAGAGAGTTATTGACCCAAGCGTGGTTTAGCCGCGGCAAAAATTCGTGGCAGCGCGACGTTTCTTATTTTTTCTTGCTCTCATTATCAACATATCGGCGGACTCGGTTTAAGATAGAGAAACGGCCAAGCTTCCCAACCGTGTGCTTAGTTTTTCGCTAGCGTTATAAATAACAAAGATATCCGTCCGAAAAGTACATAGATGAAAATACAAAAGTAAAATCTGTTGCCAACTGTAGGCTCTTTTTCAGGAGCGTTTTTTTTTACAGACGCCGACAGATATTGACGGACAATAACTCGGAATAAGATAGTCCAAGGTCAGCTCTTTCCGAATATATAAACCATTTGTTGAATTTCCATCTGGCAACGGCTGCACAAGGTCGTGAAGATTGATAATTTTGAGGTAATTTGAATGCAGCGGGACGTTTCTTATTTCTTCTTGCTCTTATTATCAACATATCAGCGGACGAAAACTCGGTTTATAATAGAGAAAAGACCAAGCTTTCCAACCGTGTGCTTAGTTTTTCGCTATCTTTCTAGATAACGAAGATATGGGCCCTAGAAGTAGGAAATATAAAGGAAAAAGTTTGTTGCTGAGCGGTTTGTTGCTATCGTCTCGCCGGTATTTTTTTTAATTTATACCGTTTTTTTTTTCAAACAACAATAATTAATTACAATAAGCAGTGACAACACAAATGCATAACTGTAAGTAAATATTCACATTATACCGGGAATTTCATATAACTAGCAATATATTAATGCACTAACCATAGTTACGAAAGTACTATGCACTACCTATGCGAAGTTAGCCCCCAATTAGATAGGATTTTACATGTATAGTATTTTGATTATAACAAGAGAACCAGTCAACCGATTTCGATAAACAATGCCCGATTCGAAATCTCTCTCGAATTCCGCTAAAACGCCAAAATAATGAGAAGGTACACGAAAATAACACAAAAATGACCTTTTTTAAGTGGTGATAACTCGTAAACGATGTACCCGATGATCAAGATATATACGTCATTCGATTCGTCATAGTTTCTTCTATCGAAATCACAAAATGCCCGATTTCAATTCTCTCCCGTTAACCTTGTACAGCCCACGGAATGACACCGTGTTCGGCTCGTTGTTTACGCACTTATGAACGACCGAAAGTCTAGCCCCCAATATAAAAAAATTAATTTAAACTAAATCGACTATAATAAGAGAACGGTTTGACGGATTTTAATGTTTTATATGT